GGGAAAGAGCCCTGCTTGTTCCTGGGAGGCAAAGGTGAGCTGTGCAATCTCTAGCACTCCTAAAAAGGGTCCCTGAAGACCCTAAAAAGGGTTGTGTTCTGTGGCAGGTCATGAACACCTGGGCTGCACCCCTGCAGGCATGGAACATCCTTCTGGCAGCAGCCAAGGCCTTGAGCCTGGGACCTACACCTGGTGCTTTTTGGTGTGGTCCAGAGGTAGGAACAGAATGGTTCGGGAAGTGGGCTGTACCTGTAGGGCAAGAGCTTGGGCACTCAGCTGCTCACTGATTCAGTCCTGGCTCAAAGGACTGCTCACAGCTGTCACAGTAAGTAGTGACTGCATAAAACTGTGGGATAAAAAAAATAAAAATGTATATATATATATTTGGGGTGAGGGTTATGGAAGAAGAGCTTCGGCTCAAACAGTTTGGATTTAAGTACAAGTAGCCGAGCGCTCTCCCAGTGCCAGTTTTAGTCTGGAGTGGCTTTTATTCCTGGCATTAGATGTTTCACAGTCACTCCCCTCTGCCACCACCCCCCCTTCTTCTGTTAGGGGCAAGGGGCTCTTGTGCTGTGTGTTCTTTTTCGGCTCAGTGACTCAGCTCCTCTCGCACTTCAGTCCCGCACCCTGAAGGCTTCTCCTCGCTGCCTGCCGAGTGAAGCACGGCATTGCATCCTTACCTTCACATCGCCTCTCAGGAAAGTGATCCCTCAAGGCAAGCATCCTTCAACTCCATGCTAGGGTAGCTTCAGGAGCATGTCATTAGAGGGGGACATGGCAGCTGGAGGCTGTCAGCCACATTTCTGAGCTGCCACGTCTTGTTGCTCAGCCTAGTTGTGGGGCTCTTCTGCGGCACAGAGATAGATGGCAAGGGCAGATTCCAGAGCTGAGCTGTCGCGTTCCACCTTTCTGCTTTGCTCCCACAGGGAAGAAACTGACAGTGGGAAGCACGATCCCAGCACGCAGTGATGTTTGCCCATCTTAGGCACAGCCTTTTTGTCACTCCACTGGAATAGTGGGAGCGATCTTTACAGTCCATAGATCAGAATAAATGCATGCTAAACCCAGACATTCACTATTACCAGTGCCATTAAAATCTTACTGTAAATTTTGTTTGCACTATTTAAAGATTTTTCTTTCCCCATCCCCTAGGCAATAGAAATAATTCTGTGCATGTTTATTCATAAATCTGTCAAGTTACAAAATGCTTCTGAAAAAGTATTTTATATATAATTCTAGAAAATAAAAATTATGCAAGATTGAAGTAGCTTGAGCTTGGGCTGCTATTACATTCTGTCAAGATAAACTGGGAAGGATGCTTTTTTTTTTTTTTATACTTTCAATGCTGTTATTAAATAAAAACTAACTACTTAGCTTAGCTTAGCTTTCACTATTAAAATTTAAAGATGGGCTAGGCTGGAAGTTTTTCCTACCAAAAAAGCACATTGTGCATATTGCATTTACAAAGGCTGAATTGGGTAATCATGTTCTCAAAAAGCTCCTGACCTGAGGGCACTTCACTTTTTATCAGTGTGTTGCATTCAGAGTAAAATATGCAAAAGAATTACATCCCAGTCTCCCTGCTCTCCTCCACAGGAGTGGACAGGATGGTACTTGCATGAATAGGAATGTTAACTTCTAGTCTGGAGGGAGGCCAGGGGCACTGGGTTCTACCATCTTTCTATGTTTCCAAAACTCAGTTTCAAAATTTCTCAGTTTACTTGGTAAATAACTTATGCTTAACTATATGCAGCAATATTTAGTTTTTGGTAGGATCAAAATTTGTTTACTTTTGTGTTCTTACTTGTCTCTTTGTTAGAAGAAGTCCAGTTAATCTTAAGGAAAAGTATGCTGTACTCTGGTATGTGTAGGATACCAAAATATGGCAAAAAGAAACCACACATAAATCTTACCGTGAAAACTAAAGCTTTATTTTGTGATCTGTCATGCATTGCATTCACATACTATGGATTCAGCTTTCATTAGGGTGACAAGTTATGACTCTTTCTTAGCTCCAAACCCCAACAACTGTAGGCAAAAGTAACCAGTTGCATTAGGAAATCTTGTGCAAGTGTTTGGACTAGATGATCTTTCGAGGTCCCTTCCAACCCCTAGGATTCTGTAAATACCTTTCAACTAAGATCCGTTTCTGTAAACTTCAAGGAGGACAGGTCATGACCTGGAATGGTTTGATTTCACGGCATCATGCAAAGAGCAAGACTAAATGCAGAACTACTTGTTTTAACTAGATAGTTCTTCTTTCCTGTTCTCCTCTCCTAGACTGGATAGTCCACAGCAGGAGCCAGCCATGCTGTTACATCCTCAGAGAGCGTCTGAGATGTGCCTTGTGGTCATCAGTGCTATTTTCAGCTGTTGCTAAGGGAAGGGCTGCTGAAACGTTCCAAAGTTTCTCTTTGCACAGGCTTGTAGGTGTGACCTTGGCAGTGTTCTCAGATTAGATGGATGGAGTAATGCCACCAAAGGGGAGGATAAATTGTAAGATATTGATGTGGCAGTGACACAGGAATGCTGTAAGTAGTGGGTTTTCATCTCTCTTGCCTTATTCCGCATCATGCAGAAGGGACTAAATAAAAGCTTACACAGTGACCTCAGTTCTTAGCATATCCAGCAGCCCATTTATTGTTTGTCAGTCTGGAAACTGGCTTCCCAGACTGTTTGTGACTAGTGACAGAAGGTGAGCTTCCAGGACAGCCCACTGCAACTTCAGCCTTTTCAGGACTTTGCCTTTTTGTCTAGTCTATGAACCACACGAAAGGCCTCTAAAAATTCATTGAAGTCAATGTGGCCATCTTTGTTATGGTCTATGCTGAGGACTAACTTGTCAAGGGATTCATCATCTACATCGATGCCCAGGTGAGAAGCAAAGAGTCTCCACGTCTGGCTGAACTCTTGAAGAGAAATGAGACCTAAAGGAGACAGGCAGCAGGTTGCTTTTTCCAGTCTGTTTCCTCTCCCTTCCCACATACACACTCCTTCACTGCAGGAAAGCTACCTGCCCACTGTGCCTTGTGTGCCTTTCATGATTTCATGGCTGAAGTACGTTTTCACTTCAGATGATAATCCAATGCTTTCAACAGTGGAACTGAGAAAGCAGTAGATACTGAGAGTAGAAGGGAGAAAAAGCCTCCAGAAGAGTGAAACCAGTACTGGAGATGGGATACATGGGAATTTTTTCTGAAGTTAGACTGTGCCCTACCCCTTATATGGTTACAGCCTGACGGCTTAAATTAGTCTTTACTAAACTAGAAAAATGACATAATCTCTGGTTCCTCTCTATTTAGAAGCCCGAAGGAGGAAACCCAGTGGGTAAAGACAACTTCTTTAGGTTTCCAGAGCTGGTGCAGTGACGTTACCTGGACTTACCTGAGTGATCTTTGTCAATTATGTTAAAGATGATCTCCAGATCCTTTCTGTATCTCCACAGTGTTTCCATCAAAGCTGGCTGAACCTGGTTTTGAAATCCCATATAGGAAACCATTCAGACCTTGGTTTGAGTCAGTGTCACCAACAGAATATGTACTATCCAAATCTGTGTTCCCCGTTTAACTCAAATGTTTTTAAAAAATACCTTTATATTCAAGTTCCCCAGAATGATACTTTGTGTCTTGCTTTGAGGAGCTAAAACCTGTCACTTTCAGATGGTGGGGCATGAAGGGAAGGAGCCCTTCACACCTCCTACCTTCAATAATTATTTGTGGAAATATGGATCATTTAGGGAAGATGCTGTACACCATGCAGTCATATGAAGCTTTTGCTGTGCATAAGTTAATGGATCCTGCTATTTAGAAAAATTATGGAGACAGCTAAGAACCAAAGCTCTCTGCAGCCACTTGGTAACAACTGGACTCAGTAGAAGAGACCTAAGCTACCACTGAACATCTAAAAGTGCATCTAGAAATATGATTCCCTCCTACAGGTGCTTGAATTGGCTCTGGAGCACATCTGAAAAGCTCATCTTAATGAGTGAGGGTAGGGTGCTCTGAGTAGGATTTATCGCATCTCCTCAGCTATGTTATCTAAACGCCCTTGAGAGTCAAGGGAAAGTGAGAAGCAGTTCTAGCATGTGATTCATCCAACTATTTTAAGTACCTACCTTAGCAGGGAATGATGATTTGTACCCTAGCAGTTCTCATTTTCCTCCACTGCCTAAAAAAGGAAGCTCAGCAACTAGTTCAGCTGCTGCTGATGGCTGCTTGATTGGCCAAACCACTGTCTTATGCCTCAAGTCACTGCTCCTCCAAGATTAGCAAGAAGGCATTTTCCTCCTTACCTCTTTTATGGGTTGATCTATATTCAAATCGTGGAAACATGACATGAAGTCAACTTTTCCACCTGGGTTCATCTCTGCTAGCTGAGGCTGCAGCATCCTCCAGGGCAGCTCCAGGTGTAGGACAGACTCCATCGCTGCAGCCCAGTCATTGACAGAAATGCTGCCTGCCGGAAGGGGTCGGGTCATAGTTACAAGAGGTACAAGACACGACGTATCAGTCACCAGCGTGTCTTCTGCTGGTTTTAAGAACAGTTGAAACCACAAACGTCTTCTCCTAACCCTGGGATAAAAACCCTTGTAACAATGAGCAGCACAGAATCATAGAATCATTCAGGTTTTTGAACACATTCAGGATGCTGATTCAAACTCTTCCCTGGGCAGCCTGTTCCAGTGCTTAATAACCCTTCCTGTAAAGAAATTTTTCCTAATATCAACCTAAACCACAACTTGAAGCCATTTCCTCTCATCCTATCACTAGTTCCTAGTGAGAAGAGACTCTCCCCTCAGTTTCCTCCTCTTCGGACTAAACTCCAGCTCCAGTTCTCTTAGCTGCTCCTCATAAGGTTTGTTTTGCAGACCCTTCACCATCATGAAGAAAAGCTGTATTTGTGCTAGAAATCACAAACCCCTAGCCCCTGCATAAAAGGTTCCTGTGTCAACTTAGCCTTGACTTCAGTTGATGGGTGAGTGTATGTCTCCTAGTGGCATAGCCAGTCAACTTTACTCATGTATCTCCCTGACTCAGAAGGGTACCAATTCCCCCCTCACCTGAATCTCCAGTTCCCTGTCTGCCATCTGAACACACTCCTAAGTGAAGATGGTGACCTTTGAGCTTTTGGAGCTAGATCTGCCTGCCTGAACTCTGCCTGGCAACAAACACCATTTCCTTATTTCCCCGTGTATTTCAGTTGTTTTGTTCTACCTATGTAAAGCTTCATCCCCTCAAAATGTTCCCTGGGGCCAAGCACTTGCTAACACCTTCCTCCTGTGTGGTCAGGAAGAACATAAGATCAACCAGCCTCTGCTGCCTGCCAGCCTTACACTCGCAGGCAGGACCCCTCTCTGTGCTGTGTTTTCCAACCCCCCGCCCTGAAGCGGTTTTCCCCATGGTGGCAACCAGACAGAGAGGTAGTGTTACCTGTGCCCCTGAGGTCATACTGTTCAAAAGCACTTGTCAGTTCAGCCTTGTGAGCATAAATCTTCTCTTTTAAGCACTTTAAGGCAGATGATTCAATTGTACCCACCCTAGGAGGAAAGAAACGCGGAGCCGATCATTAGAGGATTTAAATCCTCTAGCAGTTCATGCTTTTCAACATTAATTATCAATGTTTTATATTCTTTAACATGCAGTGTATTTAGAGTTATCAAAAGACAACACTGGGGGGAAAAAAGCAATGCCAAAACAAAGCCCTATAAGAATAAGCTGCATTTATGCGATAATCGAGTTTATGTAGGTAATTCTAAGCTGCTTTGCTGTAGTAAGTCTGACCACAGAGCTAGGCACAGCAAAGCTGTCATGAGAAACTTTTTTGGAATCAATTCACAACAGGATTTGTCTAGATTAACGCTGCAGCCTTAAAGCAGACCTCACAGACAGGTGCAGGCCCTTTACAAATCCATGCCAATTGTCTGTTCTGACTGCTTAGCCCATCTATTTACCTTTGGGAGTTTTTCAGGAAACCAAGTGAGAGTACGTAGAACATGTTTTATCTACTGTATTAATTTTTAAACTGTAAAATAGAAAAAAACAAGGACACCCAAGGAAAACCTGTGGCAGGTATCCACAGGCTCAGTGAGGCCAGGCTGACTGCCCAGCACACAGCTTTACCTCTCCTGAAGGTTCTGCCTGCGTGTGCACCTGCTGACTCGATACTGTACAAACCGAGGGTTCAGTTCAGGATTCAGTTTGATGTAGGCTCCCCGGTTGCTCCCTTCTTCGTAATAGTTGGAGGCAGAAAATATAGTGATAACCTGGAAACAGGAAACAAAGAAACTGGATTGACTACGGCAACTCTTCTTGAGATTGATTTCTGAAACAGATCTTGGAGAATCATGCCGGTTATGAAAGAGTCTGCATATAAAACCAGGCATTAACAGCTCTATTGTTCGCCACACTGCTTGCACTTTTTGAATCACAGATCCAGGCCTGTATTTTTGGCACGTCACAGGAAGAATTAAGTTAGTGGGCAGTGTGATTGTAACATGCTTGTAAAACAAATCTCTTTCTAAGATAGACCTGGTTTTCAGGATTCTTGCTGGTCTTCTGGTACAGCATGTCACAGAGCAGGGTCAGAAGAGAGATTACAAAGTTAAAAGGCTTCTAGAGCCTCAGAGTATCTCCTGCACTATATTTACATGTAACTCTCCCCAGGGATTTTGTTGATGTTCACTCCTTTTCACATGAGTAATAAGCCAGTCCCCACTCCCTGAAGCTGCAAAGAGTTTTGTTTGTCAGAAACCCATAATTTGTTCTAACATCCATCTAGAATACAATTCCCCCAAACCCATTTTTAAAAAGACACTCGTTTTTTAAATTAACTTTGCAGATGGTTCTACTGTGGATGTGCCTGTGAAATTCACAACAGAACTCTTGCTTTACATGGAAGCATCTTACCTTCCCATTGTGACTGATCTCATAACCTTCCGGCTTAAATTCATGAGATCTGATGAGCAGCTTCAGATTATACCTTTTGAACAGCTTGGCAGTGACATCAGGGCCAAAGTAACAACCTCCTCCTCGACACTTGTTTGGTGTACAGCCATTTTGGCTTCTTGGATCACTCCAGAGAATGTCAAGGATCTGAAAAATAGCAAACAGAAGCAAGTGAGGACTGGCAGTAGGTGAGCCGTGGCTCCCCACTGTACAGGGTGAAAACACACCTGAGATAACATGCAGGTCTCTTGTTTCCCTCCTCCCTTTCAGCTGGGAATTCAAAATTTTGTTCTGCCTTTCTTAAAAAACGTTAAGTGGATTTTGGATGAACTTTTTCTAAGGAAATCCTGTTTCAGAAATATACTTCCTTTTACAGCTGAAGTTTCCAGACTCGGCTAGGCACATTGGGAATGGTACCTGGGATATTTCAAAGAGAGCAATAGCTGCCTTCTTTGCATGTAGGTGTGAGAGGCATTTTCCATTTCCCAGCACAAACCTGATAACCACATGGGTCAGTGGCTTCACCTACACTAAGCTTGGGAGTGCCTGCTCTAAACATGACAAGAATTGCCTTTGGCTTTACTGTCCTGGGTTAGGTCATGTTTCAAAGCAAGATTTTACAGACATGATGATAAATTATCATGGTTTAAAATCATGTGACCTTATCATTCTAGTCAGTAGCAAACATTAGGCAAAATGTGTTTAAACTCCACTGCACAAGGTTTACACTAACACATTTCACATTTGTGAGCAGGGGTCAGTGGGGGCTTGGTTAGTTGGGGAAGTGTCAGATTTGAGGAGTTGTTTGTGCCCATTACATTAGTTTGTAGGTCAGATATGTATCGTGGGAACTCATATTTTCAGAGATGAATTTGCTTCACAAGAAGCAAATCAAAAGTGTGTGCCCCTTAAAGCAGCTGTCTGAAAAGATACTCAGAAAAATAAACTTACACACAAGTCAATTTTGAGCTTCTAAATTGCTATGCAAATTAAGAAATTAAGCTTTTCAAATGGTCACAATTTATTAAATTACAGCATGACAAGAGCTCCATTTTGCCTCTAATATTCAAGAGCAAATGAGCAGACAGGGACAAAAAATTCCCACTCTTGAGTAATTACCCTGTAGCCCTCAGAAGCTGGTTTTTTTAGACAGTATCAGCATTCAGCTGCCAAAGCCACAGCCAAAAAAAGGTGCTCACTATCGCCGGCAATTGCAAACTCTGACCTATTTAAACTAACAACCACGTATGTACCAACAGATCCAACCACATGAGGGCACGCAAACACATCTCACAGCGAGCACTTCCCCCCTCGTAACGGCTCAGAAAAGAAAACATTGGGGAAATTGTACATGTAAGGTATAAAATCACAATCCTTTACTAACACGTCTACAAAGAAGCATCCAAAGAACTAACAGCTGGCTAGTATCCTCCCAAGAGGGCTGGGTTTCTTATGAGATGCAGGTCCCTTAGATTCAAACACACTGCCTGTGCAGAGGACCTGCTGGGTTTGTGCAGGGGTGTTCAGCATCAGCCTGTCTTGGGCTTCACCTACTTGTTTCCATTCCTTCATGTCGAAGTCTGGAGATAAATCTGAGCCTGAAGGCTCAGTGGAGCCCGGTAAAGAAGTACGTCGTTTTTCTCCTACAACATTCTTCTGGTTGGCAATGTCTTTACCAGGTGTGGTTTTGGGAATTGTCTCCTTCACTTGGTCCTGTTTGTCCCCCACTGACTTCGGAGGCCTCATCAATGTCTTCCACTTTTTTAAAAAAACAAGCATTGAAATGGTTACCAGAACATAAAGATGATGCAGAGATGTCAGCTTAAAGGCCCATCATTTCCCATTTCCCGTACTTCATGTGGAACTCTCAGAATATCCTGAATTCACAGGTTTAGTGGCAGCTGCAGGTGTTTGGCACTTGCAGAAAGAAATGTTGCCCTCTATCAGCAGTCAGCCTCTTCAAGCCCGCTCTCATATTCTCACCAAGACACACGGACTCCTTCAAAGCCACAGTCTATTACAAGGTCTCACTATGCAGCAAATATGACCTGGGCTCAGGGCAGACACTTGAAGTGCCCAGCTTCCCAGGGAACTGAAGATGTCCATGATCCAGGCCAGGTTGGATGGGGCTTTGAGCAACCTGGTCTACTGGGGTTGGAACTAGATGATCTTTAAGGTGTCTTCCAACCCCAACTATTCTGTAATTGTACATATATTGTACTGAAGATGAAACAGCATCCACTACTGCTCTGATACAGTAGCATGCAGCTAAGTTAACCTGGCTAAAATGAATGGAGTATCAGGAGGATAACAGTGAAATTGATCAGGCCCATTTATTGTTAAACCACCCCCCTCCAATATGCATGGGCAGGTGCTTTTTTGGAGCTGAGAGCTATGGCTCAATGAATGCCTATTAATACAGACTGAAATTGTCTCCTATTAGGTCATTTTTTTAACAACCCCCTCCCTCAAATAACCCAATAACAACATGCCCCCCCCAGCACCAGAGCCCTGTGTCTGAGCAATCATAAGACCTGGATCGCCACCAGATCTCCTGGATCTCCACTGATTATAAGAAACCTAAGCAACCTGCTCACAAGCAGACATCTTGATTTAGCTGTCCAAATCCCACACCATTTTCCACTGCTTTGAAAGAGCTGTGTTTGCTCACCATTTCAGAAAAAAAATACATGTTTCTGTCTTCTAAATCCCTGAAAAGTGGTAGTTTTTTTTTCTGAAGGCCAGGTTCTGAAGTTTGATCTTGCTGGGAAGGCTCTCCCCCATATGCAAAGATCAGCTGCTGCCAAGGGAGCACCTCACAGGTGGAAGACTTCCCCCATGCAACAGATGGCAGAAACACAGCCCCAGGACAAACTGCAGTGCTAAAAAGATGTGGCTGGATTGATTTCTAAAGTGTTTAGAAATGCCTGAGAATTAAGTACTTTTCATACTTTCTGGTTAATGCGTCATCACTGCAGGAGGGAGGTATCTAAAGTGTTTTTACCTATGTGAAATTCAAAAGACCCATGTTAATTTACAGCAGCCTGACAATTGGTTCCCAACACCTACTGAAACCTTCATTCCTAAGCAATGATTTTGAAGAAAAAACAAGGCTCTTTTTTTCATCACATGCCATATAAAACACCCATTTCCTTTCTTAATGCAAACAACTTGATCTTATCATTTCTACTGCCAAAGGAACATTACTGCAAAGTGAATATGATCACTTACCTTATTTCTCTTAAGTGCATTCAGGAAATCCAAATCTGTTGTGTCTGAAATCCCTCCGTGTAGGATAAGAACTTTGCTGTCAATTATAGTGGCAAGGGGAAGCCAGCTAAAGATGTCTCGCAGAAGAAACATAATCTCTTTCCAGTGGTCCTGCCAAACATACTCTTATATTAGATCCTGTTTCTGGCAGATTTTGTTAGTTCTAATTGAAGATTTTCTGATGTGTCTGCCACTGTGTGAACAGTTCTGTCCAGGTGATACCCTGAACTGCAACACTGACAAGCAAGTTCTAACATTTATTTTAGAGGGATGTGATTGTCTCTATAGCATTTTGGTTTTCTTTCAGGCTCACCTCCTCTTGTGTTTTTGAATGGCCTTATGAGTGTTATTTATTTCATCCCATAGAACTCTGAGCATAAAAGGCTAACACACACGATTTTTTTGCCAGTTATTCCACTGAAAAAATGAAATAATTTAAACTACATTGCTGAAGTCATGTAATACGTGACTACATGTACTACATTAGTCTGCACTACACCTAAATAATCTGCTTGGAAGTGTCCTTATTTACACAGATTTAATTTTACATGTGTGAGACTACAAAGAAAATACAGGGGAAGGAGGAGGAATCATACCTTGTACTTCCTTGAAATTTCTTTTGTGAAGCCATATCTGAGAACAGAACAACATAATGAACCGGTTTTCAGTATGCCCCTTCTGCACTATTTTTCTATTCTGTCTCACCTCTGTTTAAATGTGTTTTCTTCTGCTCTTTCTCAAGCATGGAGTTAAACTGATTTCATGTACATAAAACAGATCAGGAACAGGATCCAGACCGAGAATTCTGAAGCGCCCTGTAGCCCATCTAAATGAAACAACTTAGCAGTTTTACCATTTAGATCCTAGAGACAAATTTCAAAGGAACCTAACTGATGATAGGCAAAAACTCACACAAAACCTCCACAGAGTTTTTGTTCTAAATCACTCAACTTTATTAGTGTTGTCTATTGTGCCTTTTTGCCACAAGGGACAAGGACTCTGATACCTCATTCTTTTAACACCAACATATCCTTGGTGCAAGGAGCATTTTCACAACACCTTAGCTCTCAGATTTCAAATTTAGCTGTGTGCAGCACTGTTAATCAAAATGCCTGGCAAAGAGCCATACACAGGGATGCACCTTTACAGTCTGTACCATCACAGAATTAGTTAATATTTTCCACTCTTTTGGGTGGGGTTTTGCGTACCTGGTAGATAAAGTAACTGATCTTGTTTTATGTTTGTTTGTTTGTTTGTTTTAAATTAAGTGCTGAAAAAAGGAAGTATCATGTGAAACTGATTCTCTTACATGGATCATTAGTAGGATTTGAAACGTGGCCTCAAACCCAGATTTATGCCTGGGATAAAGAACAATATATTCTGTGTGCCTGCATTAAATGATAGAAGGGGTACAGCAGGCTACCTACCCCTCAGTCACTAAAAGACTTATTGGGGCACCTGAGAATTGTATGGAAAAAGACTGAGGAGTTCACCTCACATCTGTGAGGTGATTTTGTCTACTACAGCCAGAGACACTATCTGTGCTCATGCCTTTGGCAGTGCTGTACAGCTGAGTACAAATATCTGCATTAGAAAGCAGGGTCTCAGGGTGTTCCTGCACTGGGGCAGACTCCTCTCAACTAATGGGTCCCCATGGTTCAGAAGCTGGGATATTTACCCACCCCTTGTGTTTGGGAAGTGACATCTTAGTCTACAGTTAAGTGAAATATCAGCTCCTAGTTCCACTACACTGCATACTATTATGCCTTTTCCTATGCTGTGGAAACAGCCAATGCTTTAATGAAAATATAATTCTTCCATCCATCCCTGTTCCCCAAATTTGGAACTCTGGAAGCTGCACTAAGCCCACTGACTTCAATGGATCATGACAGGTCAGACACAAGACATGACTCCCATTCAAATGCGTGTGTGTAATGAGGATGTTTTTTGTCCCCATTACACATCTTGAAGATGCAGAACTACACTGAAATACCTGAAAAACCATTATTTCTGTTTTAGTGTCACAGTAGCTAAGGGAGCATTCAAAAGCTCCAACACTTCTACTGAAAGGCCAGATATTCCCTCCCCCTGGGCCCCTAAAATCTACCTCATGTTCATGACGTAGTCTTCATGGTTTCCTCTATTTAAGTGTAAATCATTGGGGTAGATGAGAAGAAATGCAAACAGGATTATAAGTATTTCCATAGAATTTTTCCCTCTGTCAACAAAGTCACCGTTAAAGACATAACGGTTTTGTTCTGAAGGCAGACCATTCTGCAGAAGGAAACAAAAACAAGACCATTTAGAGACGCTTCTGTGCTAGTGCAATAAAGGAAATAGTATTTCAAATGAGATCATATTGCCAGAAAATCTGAAAAAAAAACCCCAAACCCTGCACAACAGAGAGATCTAAAATGCAGCATTTCTTTATCTCCACTGCTTAGAACAAAAATCTCTGCATCAGACAACTTGTATGAGCCATCAGAGAAGAAGTGACCTCTCTGATTGTTCTCATTATGCCATCTCTAATCCTTCCTTCTACTTACTGAATTAAATGGAAAGGCACTGATGGAAACCTTCTTCTTCTAATAAAATATGCTTTCCCATTAATGCAACTGCTGCCAGGAAGTTATGCACTTGCAAATAGAAAGGAGTCATTCATTTTGAATGGAAGACAAGAAACCCATGAAAAAAATATCTTATAACACATTTCTGAAGGTGCTTGTCTTTCCTTACAGAGCAAGAAAATGGATTTCATGTACTTAACTGTTTGCAGGGTATGCTTCTAAAACTTCTGGGAAAGACCAGAGGACATAAAATCTTAATACACAACTCCAAAGAACCTTGATTCCATTTGCTTTAATCCTGAAAGTGCTACTTGGGTTTTATTCACATGGCACTTTTCCCTCACCCAGGGCAAACGCTCACAAACCTGAGAGGCTGTACCTACAGGTATTTCTTACCTTATATTTTTTTTCTGAAGATCTAGAGCTATGCTTTATTATGAATGGTGACTTATCAAAAGCTAATACTGTGAATTGATGATGTGTTTCATTAGATTAGGTATCAACCTGTCAATAGGTGCTATCAGCATAAAGAAAGTATAGTAGCAATTATGGGTAGCTTCACAATTTCCAGTAATGAGTATCAGAAATAATATTTCAATTCTGACTTGCCAGAAAAAGGGAAACCTCTGTTTTCACAACTGGCATGCACAAGAATTATCAACAGAACACCTATAAAATCCCATTACAACTGTGGAAGCCACTCTTAACAGTTTTGGCAGCATTGCAAGGCACCCCATTTCCTGAATATAGCTACTGCATCTCTCCAGCATTTCCTGTATTCCTACAGCATGTCCTAGTGTCCTGCCTTAGCAGATTTATTGCAGGATGCATGATTTTGCCAGAGACTCAATTAAGCATTTCACTTGAATCCATCAGGAAGTATCTTCTTTTTCCCAATCAGTGTCCTACACTGTTATGAAGTAGTGAATCCTGGTCTCTTGATTCCCACAGGGGCACAATCCTGGCTGCTGTAAAAGCAGCTTGCTTGGTATTTGCCACAGCCTCTCCCCAGCTCCCTCCAAGTCAACTTAGAAGGGGTGTGTGGTTGCCCTGTGCTCACAGGAGTGGCAATTTATGAGACTCTGCTAAGGCAGTAGGTTGTAGTGGTTTAAAAAAAGAAAGGACAGATTTCAGGAGTGGAAGAGAAAGGAGAGAGTCAGCAAGAGCTCCTAGAAAGATGAATTAATAAAACCTGTGCCTTAAAAACAATAAGCATGTAAATCACCAGCATATTGTCAGTATACACACAGTGACCATGTAACTGCAGTCACCATGGAAAGACATCTCTGCTAAAGCATTCTCCAGACTCTGTCATTCTTCCTTTGTAACAGCTTACCCACAGCTCTTAGTTTTAAATGACAGTTTGTTTTGGACTTCCAACTTCAATGTGGTATTTTAGTTCTGTTCACGCAGAGTTTGTATTTCCTTTTCTGTGGTTTCAACTAACAAGAACACTAAGATAAAGGCTGTTGCAGCCTCTGTCATGTCAAAGAGGTGAGCAAGACCCTCTAATGACTAGGAACGTGCTGCTGGGCATCATTACTGTATCTGCTGGGTTCGTGATTAATTAGCTTCCATTTGTCATTTGCATTTTCTACAGCTTCAGGCTATTTCTATCCATAGCATCCATTTACCAATCTAACCCGCTACATAACTGAAAACTCAAGGCTTTCAAGGAATCTCAGAAAATACTATAATTTAATGGAGATTAATGCAAGGACTGAATGAAACTTACAAACTGGCTATTGAGAGCAAAGTCATTATCTTAGCCTCACTCAAACCAAGTTTAAGAATGATCCACACTATTGCACCCAGCATTGTGCTGACAAGCTGTAGGTTGCTCACTTCTGTGTGTTTGCTGTTGGCAGTTTGTAAAAGTGCTGTGGCAAATGTTCTCTGGGCAGTGCTCCACACTGAAGGTGCCTGGTCTGCATGCAGGCCTCCAAATGGCTGCAGCAGCCATGCTGGCTCTGCACAGCTCTGCACAGACCTGAGGTCACTAAAATCCTCACCACAGTGCTTAGGATTGCACCCTCTTCTTCAGGGTGATGGGTGGTTTATACTAACTCACAGGAAGAAACCCCTCCCAACTGAAAGAGTTAGGGAAGCAGAAAAAAATGGATCCCAGAGGCTGACAGGGTTTGCTGCTCAGCTAAGTAAACCATCCACAGGGGACAGAAAATACTAATTGCTTCTAAATAACTAAGCAGCTCTATCATGTGCTATTTTCTCAACACCTTTGAAACAGCAAAATATTTATCTGTTTTATTCAGTTTGATGGAAGGACTCCCCTAGAACCTTAAATAGAACTACAGGGTGTAAACTCTAGTGCCTGAAGTCAGGGGCAGTTTTGGCTCTGAATTTACTCAAGTCCGGATTTAGTCCTTGCTTAGATTTTTTTTTCTCTTCATAACATGCATTAGAGAGGGAAAAAAATAATCATGTTCTGTTTACTCCAAAAGCATAAAATTTAGGCTGACTGCAGTAGTAAATACAACCATATCTGAGCCTTTACCTTCAAAATAGTTCTTTTTCGCATTCCAGGTCCTGTGCACAAAACCAAACTGTATCATACTCTTATTTCAGCTTCAAAAAGCAAGACTGTCTAATTAAAATAACAGCAAAGAGACTGCATGACAAGGACCAGCTAAATGTAATTGATTGATGAATAAGAAAAGCAGAACTCTGTAAAAAGGTCTGATTATACTTCAACAGGCTTCAGTTATGCACTTGGGCAAAACAACCAATTTTCTATTCAACAAGTGTCAGATAAAGTGTAACAACGTTGGAAGCAGGGGTGAATTACATCATTGAAACACCTGGTTTGGCTCATTTCCGTCTCCATTAATTGCAGATGAATGTACAAAGATCAGATGCAAACCCTTTCCCCTGGAAAGCTCAAATCAAAGAGAGTATCTGCTAAATGAAAGGTGGTGATTCATGCGAAGGATAAATGTGAAACTAAACAGAGGAAATTTCCTGCAGCTTCAGTTAAATATGCAACTGTGGAAAAGATAGCTTGGAGCTTATGTTTTTTTCTTTCACAGCAGTAAAACAGAGCTATGCCTTTGTAACCTTAAAAAGTGAGCAGCTATTCAAAGATGTGTAAAGGATGCCCAAGGTATTTCCATTTTGTGCAGACTACATGACTGCTTCCAGGACTTGAAAAGCCATTAAACAGAGAGCACTCTTTTTTTTTTTTCTTCCTGTAAATAAATAATAATAAAAAGCACTTTGCAGGTATCAATGGAAGGCCTAAATGAAAGCATCTGCATTTTTCTGACGGGCCAAAATTATCCATGGTGTAGTGTCACACCAGGAATGAAGTTACCTCCTGATATTAGAAGACTTTAGCCAATATGTAATACAAAACAGTGTTTTAATATATATAAAACAGGACTTTGGAGACGTTGCAAGGAACCCTCTTAAGTTTTGGTTCATTCTCAAGTTCAGCATTTAGGAAGAGCAAGATTTCCTGGGTCTCTTCTGTCACAGTGAGCAGGAGGATATTGAGAAGGAAGAGCTACAACAGAGACATTATTCCAATTGTTTCGGGATCTTCCAGTGCCTTAGGGGCCTACAGGAAAGCTGGGGAGGGACTTTTTACAAGGGCTTGTAGTGAGAACACAAGGGCGAACAGATCAAAATTGGAAAAGGGGACATGTAAATTAGACATGAGGAAGAAATTCTCCACTGTGAGGGTGGTGAGACACAGGAACAGGTTGCCCAGGGAAGTTGTGGAAGCCCCATTCCTGGAAGTGTTCAAGGCCAGGTTGGATGGGGCTTTGAGCAACCTGATCTAGTGGGAGGTGTCCTTGTCCATGGCAGGGGGGTTGGAACTAGATGATCTTTAAGGTCCCTTCCAACTCAAACCATTTTATGATTCTATGACTTGTGTGTGTGATACATGCACACTGCATGTACAGTTCTAACAGTGAAAAATCTATCAGACACAGATACGTGTTCTTAACAACAATTCATTAAGTCAAAACACTACATCACAGTCTGCCTACTTACTTTATAGAATATCAGCAAAAGATCATCCAGGTTTCCATGCAAATCTCCTAAAGGAAACAAGAACTTGATTTTTAATCTTTTTATTTTATTTTTTTTTTCTATTTTCTCACAGAGGAGGAAAAAACTGGAATTATAACCTGGAATTATTTAGTCCTAACAAGTTTTTTCCCCTTGTTTCCCTTAATAATTTGCCTTGTATTAGGATTAGCTTAATTTCAAGGTACATGCTCAAGCTGCTTGTGAAATTTGGCAATAAAATACTTAAGAACATGCAACTGTCTTGCATAAAGTTTTTCTCTTTACAGCTGGACCCGAAGATCAGACCAGTCACACAGCCAAACTTTCACATAGGGAAAAGATAATAAGACCCCTTTAGATGCTACTTGCGTGGTGCAAATGCAATACAAACATGAGGAGGTATGTTTTGCTTAGTAAGAACATGCTGTGTAGTGAAGAAGTATGAACTCGTGTTTCCTTGGTTTGGCTAAAGGTTTTATTGGTTTAGTTAACAAATTATTGGTTATACAAAACCTGATTTAAACAAACCCTTTTCTAGCAATCAAAGGAGGTGTATAACAACATCTTCAAAAACATCATTTGTTTTGCATGTGTCACAGCATGCTTCCTTATGCCACTTTCCTATCAGGGACAGCACATACTGCTAGCTGATGAGAGTAGCTGTCACTGCTACTGTTCTGATTTGCAGCTACTGTTTTCTGTGGCAAGGCAGGATACTGCATCCCTTTATCAGTAATTTACAAAAGCAAAACAAACCAGTCAGGCAATGAGTTCTTTACCTTGTCACACATCACACCATTCTGTGAGATTAATTTGTTGGCTGTAAAAAGACTGATCCGTCCTCTTGGGTCCCTTTAGAAGCAAGGGTTTATTATAATTTCAATTTATTCTAGATAGTCATGTTGTCAATGGAAGGTCTTGTCTGCCACCCTTATTAAGCCCTCATTAAAATAATTACTGAGTAAATTATGATGGTACAGTCTTCTCAGTAAGAGGAGAAAGTGGTAAGACTTGCAGCTGGTCATCAAATACTCAGTGGCATTTTAGTGATGGAAATGCAGGAATATTTAAGCTACACTGCAGTGTTAGCTGAAGTAATACTGACTCATTCAGAAATGTTTAATGAGAAAAGGAAAGAGGAGGTGAGGAGCTTTCTTAAAATATACTTAGTCTGACTCAGAAAACTGATTTTTTTGTTTGTTCCATTTTATGTATTTGTAAAAAAAAAAAAAAAAAAAAAAGTTTTCTTGTAGTGGCAACATTTGGAAATGTCTGTATCATTCTCCAACCACTTAGAATATCAAACCATAGCCCAAAGCAGTTATCTTCTTTGGCAACTTACCACAGACAGTTATGTCCTTGGAGTAGGAAGTTGAAAGACGGGTGATATTTGGCAACTCCTTGAGAACCTTCCTAGTTTCATACAGTAGCTGCAGTACATAGTGGGCATGAAGCAGCTGTGACAAAAGGAGGAAGAAAAGGGACACTTATTAGAAATAGCAACATGTCTGTCTGCTTTATTTATGTCAGACACGTATTGCTGAGATTATTTACACAACAGACCTCCAGACATGATTATAGGCTGTGTGGTTTAGTGCTGGGAATTAGGAATGTTTGTAGCTTTGCACGTTCTTCCTGGTGAATAGGTACAGAGATGTTAACAAACTCACTTTGTTTCTAGTGTACTGTTTCTACTCTTCCCATCTATAGAAAGGACAAGAGACTAATACAGCACTCAGAATCCTTGCATAAGATAATCGACTCAAAGGAACTGGGAGAAAAAGAAGTAGTTCTAGCTGTGAGTAAAACAAAACAAAACAAGAACAAAAAAGCCAAAACCAAACCAACTGAAAAACCCCTGAAGGCCATAAGTGGTATTTCAGCAAATTGCAAAAATACTGAGAGGGGAAAACCCAGACAACATTGCCTTGTTTAGAGTTATCTTCCTGTTCACTGTGAAGATGCCATGACAATGCAATATTGAAGCTTCTAGTCTTCTCTGCTAATGCTTTTTATGATAATTTTGTCAGTTGGTGGTTTAATTCAAAGGCTTTTAATTCAAACACAGCTCTGAGGAAATCTGGTAGAGGACACAGATGAGCTACAGGCTGACTGTTCAAGATTTGTTTTTTTTAAGCAAATAAAAACAACCAGTTCCATACAATGATTTCCTTAACAAAATGCCAACCCTAGGAAGAGAAGAGAGAGCTGACAGTATGGTGAAGTCTGGGTGGCCTCATTTATCCTGTACTTTATACCTTTACTTTTATTACTTTTAATATCAGCCTCCACAGAACATTACAGATAAAACCTTCCACTATTATTTAGTAAATTAAACCCCAAAATAGACCCTTATCCTTTGTATGCATTATGTTGTTAAGCACAAATGACCACAAGTTGAAGCAAAGCTGGGCTGTGTGATGCCTCCCTGCCCCACCTTCATCTTCAAAGAGGGCAGCAAAGGGGTTTGCTCAGGAACACAGAATCATCAAGGTCCTTCTGAGGGCCTTGGCAGATGCAGACAGCAAGCTCCAGAGATTTGTGCCATCACTCTGTTCTGCCACATCAGTGATGCTTTATATTCACTTTTTCATTATACTGGAGTCTTGCACACTGGAACAACATGATTAAACTTTGCACCTTAATTCCTCTAAAAAGAATGGGAGGGTGGGAAGGGGGAAGGGGGTATGACACAAGGAGCACATTTAACACAGGAAAATATGATAATTAGTTCCTAGGTTAGCTTAGGACACCTTACCCAGGCCTGCACCCTCACTGACAGCCCCTGCCTTGCAGCTGCTAAAGGTTCCCACTTCATCACCACTGTATCTCAGTACTAGAAGAGGAGGTCCCTGCTCCTCCCCAGTGCTATCTCTGGTGGTCATGCAGCCAATGAGTGAATCTGGGAACTAGTCTGGTTGAGAACTGACTGCTTTTGATTTACTTGTGTTAGTTTCCAGCCAGTCTGGTTTCCCAAGAGGAGGAAAGGGTAATGGGATGGAAAAGAAGGGAGAAATATCTCCCTGGGCTTCAGTTTAGCCTTACATTGGATTCAACTGTTTGTGGAGCTATGACCCAGGAAACTACAGGCTGGTTAGTCTCATCTCTGTCCCTCCAAAAGTGATAGAGCAAATCGTTGTGGATGTCATTTCTAAATGTGTGGAAGAAAGTTATTGGGATTGGTCAAAGTGGATTTACCAAGGGTCAATCATGCTTGGTCTGATAGCCTTCTATGTTGTCATAACTGGCTGGTTGGATGAGGGTAGAGCAGCAGATGGCATCTACCTTGACTTCAGCAAGGCTTTATCACTCTCCCATAACATCCTCAATAAGAAGCCCAGGAAGTGGAGGTTAGATGAGTGGACAGTGAGGTGGACTGAAAGCTGGTTGAGTGACAGAACTCAGAGGATTGTGATCAACAGTGCAGGGTCAAGTCAGAGGCCTGTAACCAGCAGTGTCCCCAGGGATCAACACTGGGTCTTGTCTTGTTCAACATATTCATCAGTGACCTGGATGAGAGGACAGAGTGTATCCTCAACACATTTGCTAATGATACCAAACTGGGAGGGGTGGCTGACACTCCAGAGGGCTGTGCTGCCATCCTGCATGACCTGGACAGGCTGGAGAGCTGGGCAGAGAGGAACCTAATGAGGTTCAACAACAGCAAATGTAAGGTCCTGTACCTGGGGCAGAACAACCCCATGCACCAGTATAGGTTATGCTTGAAAGCAGTCCTGAGGAGAAGGATCTTGGAGTCCTAGTAGACAATAAGTTAACCATGAGCCAGCAGTGTGCCCTTGTGGCCTAGAAGACCAACGGTGTCCTGGGATATATTTGGAAGAGTGTGGCCATGAGGTCAAGGAGGTCATCCTCTACCTCTGTTCTGTGCTGGTGAAGCCACACCTGGAATACTGTGTCCAGTTCTGGGCTCCACAGTTCAAGAGAGATGGGGAACTGCTGAAGACAGTCCATTGGAGGGCAACAAAGATGACTGGGAGACTGAAGCACCTTTCTCATGAGTAAAGGTTGAGAGAGCTAGGACTGTTTAGCCTGGAGAGAAGACTTATTAATATAAATAGCTGAAAGATATAGACCTGTTGGAGAGAGTCCAGAGAAGGGACACCAAGATGATCAAAGGGCTGGAGCACCTCTGCTGTGAAGACAGGCTGAGAGAGTTGGGGCTGTTCAGCCAAGAGAAGAGAAGGCTCTGGGGAGACCTTATAGTGGCCTTCCAGTACCTGAAGGGGCTACAGAAAAGCTAGGGAGGGGCTTTTCATCAGAGAGGGTATTGATAGGACAAGGGTTAATGGTTTTAAACTGAGAGAGGGGAGATTTAGGTTAGGTATTAGGAAGAAATTCTTCACTATAGGGGTGGTAAGGAACTGGAATGGGTTGCTGAAGGGAGGTTGTTGATGCCCCATCCCTGGAGGTTTTTAAGGCCAGGTTGGATGAGGTTTTGTGCAACCTGGTCTACTGGTAGGGTTCCCTGCTCATGGCAAGGGGGTTGGAACTTGATGATCTTTAAGGTGTCTTCTTGCCTTAATGATTCTATGATTCTATGACTGTAAGGAGGATGGAGCCAGACTCTTTTCCAGGGTGCCCAGCAATAGGACAAGGGGCAATGGGCACAATCTGGAACACAGGAAATTCCATTTGAATACGAGGAAAAACTTCTTTACTGTGAGGGTGACAGAGCACTGGAACAGGCTGCCCAGGGAGGTTGCGGAGTCTCCTTCTCTGGGGACATTCAAAACCCGCCTGAACCCGTTCCTGTGTGATGTGCTCTAGGTGATCCTGCTTTAGTAGGAGGGGTGGACTAGATGATCTCTAGTGGTTCCTTCCAAGTGACAATTCTGTGACTCTGTGAAGTTGACAGAGATGTAAAACAAGTAAAAAGAAATCAAACTAGTTGCAACTTACCTGTTCATTCCTGAAAGCATGAAGAAGAGCATCAACATCTTTAATAGTAAGGGGGAATGAGAGTCGTGGTCCGTAATAAGAATCTGGAACATCAACCTTCTTTTCAAATTCTCTTAAACGTAAGTCTTCATCTGCCACCTGAGCAGCACTGGGGCTGGTGAAAGCCTGAGAAACTGGGACACAAGGGGAGAAAAACAACAATGTAGAAGCTCCATCCGTCTCCTTTAGGGCCATAACAACATGACCCGAACTGGCTGAATACAAGTTTTACTTGCTGCAGCATCTAACCCCTGCTTCTATAGTGGAAGACATCCAGATCTCCCCCGATTGTTTTACAGTATTAACAACAAACAAACACAACCCCAAATGAGGCAAAACGCAACCAGATGAAAACCAGGCAAAAACTCTGTTCCAACAGCTAGCAGTTGTGGTCAGGATGCTAAACATTTTGTACTGAAGTTATGGAGCAAGCTACTCTCACAGGTAATGAGAAACAACCTGTTACAGACTTTCTTTTCCTTCTCTCACAAAGCAAGGAGATTCAAAAGTCATGCCTGATCATTCAATACCCATCATCTGTTTAAAGTTCAACATTACACCTTTGATAAAAGTTTTAGGGATTCACTCTTATTTCCTATATAAGTTTTAAACTAAATACCAGCATGTCAGTGATTATTTTAAAAGTTATCAGTAAAATCCTTTTTATTCACAGTAAATTACAAAGCACTCCTTTCTGATACAACTAGGAGAGAATTCCAGCTTTTGGTTGACTGTCATGAAACCACTGGATGAAATAAACAAAAATATAGCAGTAGAAGTAGAGCACAATTTCTAATTTTCCTGCAAGAGGGAGAAAGCAGGAACATTGTTAATTGCTTCTATCCGATATCTTCTTGACTTACCCTTGAAATGTAACTGAGTGAACAGTGCATTTCAGTGTTTTCTTCCTGCAGATTATCTTTATCATACATTAAACTAAAAAAGAGAAACAGGCCCTGAAGGACAGTGTCTGACAGCTGCTGTTGCAGAGTTGGTCTTCTGAGATGATTGTTGTAAACCCTTTTTGCTGGGCTACAGGTAAGTTTTCCGTAACCTTGTTCTAGTTTGGTTTGGTGGGTTTTTTAGTAGCGGGGGAGGGGCCACAGGAGCGGCTCTGGTAAGAAGCTGAGAAGCTCCCCCTGCTCCAAACCCAGCCAAGGAGCCACTAGAGGGACAATGGATGCACCTCAGGGATTAAAGTACGAAAGAACTAATCTAACACCTGAGCAGAGCGAGCAGAGAGGGAAGAGCTGTGCTGGAGAAGCAGAGCGGTGCTGGTGGTTGGTGAGGAAGAAGGGGCAGAAGGTGCCCAAGCAGAAGTTTCCCTGCAGCCCATGGCGAGATGGTAGCTGTGCCCCTGCACTCATGGAGAAACATGGTGGAACATCCCCCGAAGGCACCAGGGGGAGTGAACTTGGCCACTGGACTTGGATGTTATGGCCAAAGGATTTGCTGCCAGTGGACTCTGATTGCTCAGCTGTGGAAGCCCCCGGCACCAGGGGAGGTGGCTGTTCGCGAAGCCCCCGTGGCTCTGTGGGAAGCCCAGGCTGGAGCAGCTCCGGACCTCGTGGGAAGGACTCGGGAAGGAGAGGTTCGTGAAGGACTCTCTCCCATGGGAGGGACCCCAGGGATAAGCAATCCTTCTTCCTGAGGAGGAAGGAGCAGCAGGAACCACCAGCCTGTGAAGTGACTCCAAACCCCATCCCCTGTCCCCCTGTGCTGCTGGGGGGAAGGAGGGAGAGAAACCGGGAACAAAGGGATTTGGGCCCGGGAAGAAGGGAGGGCTGGGGTAACATCTGCAAGCCCTGCTCTGGGTGCGTCTGTGTCCTGGGTCCGTGTGATTGGTGTGAAATTATTTTTTTCCCCCAAGTTGAGTCTGTTTTACCCGGGACCTTAATTGGTGAAGATCCCTCTTTGTCCTTTGTCTCAGCCCATGAGCTTTGTCCTCCTCATCCAGAGTGTGTGTGTGGGGGGGGAATTGAGTGAGCGGCCATGGGGCTGTTCCTTGGTTGTCATGTTGGGCCCAAAGCAGGACAAACCTCTATTAGCTGCAACTGGAAATTAAAATGTATTATTTATTGCTGGAGGACTATCTGTGGCTGTGCCTCAAAACTCACAGCAGCCAAAACTGGCATGTGGCCTCATAAATGATGAGATTCATAAAGGCCAGCTTTTCTTGTTACTGGATAAAATCCATATTAAAGAAACAAACAGATAAATATACACTTTTTATCAGCTCTGGTTCACAAAAAAACCCCAAACCTGTTTTTAGCAGTTCTTTTGCTGTGACCTGATTAGCACATCGAGCATACAGCTATGTAAATTGATTGAGGTATCAAGTAACAGCAAGGTGCTCAGGGTTCACTGCTTCCACCAAGTACAGTCTGATTTGCAGTCTTCCACCACAGTTACATCCTTGTCTGGCCAGATGCCAGAACATCACCCACGGACTGAACGTGCTGGTTCCCACATACTGATCAGCCAAGCACAATTGCACCAAGTCTTGTCCCAGCTCTAACAGCAGGTGTCTGGACCACATCTCCCTCTGTGCCCTACCTCTCAGGAAGCGAGTGGCTGTAGGCCACAGAGCCAGTTCCTCAGACCACTCAAATTCCTCATTGCTTGCCTGTTCCAGCCAGAGGCTGTCTTCATCTGACACAACTCTTTCAGAGTCAAGTCTTCTCAGAATTTCAAGCCAGGCAGACACCTGCCCATGCCTGCTTCTACTCCAGCCCTCCTCTCCTGTGCCCAGCAGGCTACCCTTCCCTTTACCTCTGAACAAGTACCCGCCTTCCTCGCAACCTTGCTTCCTTTTTGGCATATGCCCAGGCTGAGAAACCCAATCTCCCTTCCTGTAGGACAGATCTCTGCAAAGTGCACCCCATTTTCCACTTCTGGATGAGTCATCAAACACCAGTCATGGTCATTAGCCTTAGAGTGTGCTCACATCTCATACAGTCTTTCAGCTGTCAGAGGAGTCAGTAATGGGTGCCCTAATGCAGCCTGAGGATTAGCATGCTGGCTGATGAGTACCCAGCTCACCACAAGCCCCACACAGGGCTAATTCTGAAGGATTCAGCACTCTTCTCATTTTAGTCATCTTCCAGTTGAAGCTGTCAAGGGTCTTTCCATCCATATTGAAAGACAAGGACAAAAACTCTCAACATGCCTAGTTCAGGCACCCATTTTAAGACAGAATTAAATACCTTCTGCCAGTATTTGCATCTCTCTACCGATTACAGGGAGGACAGGGAATGACCCACTTTGTTCTCTTGACACCAGAGGTCTAGCCCAACCTCAGTGAGTTGAGCCTTCACTATTATCAGGCCCCATACCACTACCCTACAGGACAACCATCATATTCCACGTTAAACACAAAAGCTCAGAGCTACGTGGAGTCAGTTTGGCCACAGAAAGCCCAGGGACCTGGTTCTGACAAGACCACCTCACTACAGGTGTTGTTCAAGGCAAGTCAAAGACACCACTGCCAAGGATGTACTCCCTATCAGGGCAACAGGGCATCAGCTACCTCTGTGGCTCTGAAGTAAGCTCTCTGTTCTGTCACCAAACGGGTGCCTTCAGGCACTTTGGGATATCTGACAGCATCCCTGGCTCCTAAGGAGTGCTCTTACATCTGCCAGATTTCTATACAGCTCCAAACATTAATTCCTTTACTTTGTTCCTGGCACTGTAAGCTAAAAAGAGCTGTGATTTATTCTCCACCATGAGAAGAACTCCATGCAAAAAGCTTTGGAAAGGCATTAGTAGTGGAAGGGAGGCATCACAGGGAGTGAAACTGCAGAAAAGAAGCCCTTTTGGTTTTGCTCACCTTTGAGGGAAGGCTCCAGGAGGTGTGGCTCCTGCCCTGGTGGCCTTCAGAGGCCTGATCTGGGGTATCTTGGACTCCCAGTCCCACCACTTTGACCCAGGACATGTTTGCAACCTTCTCACCTTCCATATGCCCCCAAAAGAGTGACCTAGTGGGTCACCTTTTGCTGGAAAAGCAGTTTCCAGCTTTCTCTGACCAGAGATCTTACAACTCAAGGGCTAATAGGTATGCAGATTTTTGGTGATAGGGAGGGAGAAAAGTGTAAGCTGGAAAAGTTTTTAATTTTTACTTTCCACAAACCCTTGGAAAACAGCCTTACTAAGAAGCAGAACAAGAACAATACACACAGCACTATAATATCCCAATCACAATTTAAAGTGCACTGACATGTTAAGCAGAATGAGAGGATGAAAAAAGCTTCAGGGTAGAACAGATAAACAATCACATCAAAACCACTACTGAGTTAATGAGATGGTGGCTGCTTTCTATCTTTGAAAAATAGGTTCTGAAAAAGCAGATTAAAAAAAGAGGAAAGTGACAAGATGAATAGCAGAGACTTGAGTGCTTTATAACGTAAGGAAAACCACAAATCACAAAATCCTCAGGTAACTTTCTCACCACATACTGAGAACAGACAATCTATTCTCTGGTAAGAATACTATATAATAATATCTTATTGGAGAGAGCTTTTGACCCATATGCTATCACTCTAAATTTAAAGTGAGAACAGACTGATGAAAAAAAAAAAAAAGCCACAGAATTGTGGGGTTTAGGAAATGCTTGGGAATAGCAAAGCCAATTTGAAGCTTCTTTGCTTGTTATGTTTACACTCACCATGGCTCACATCTTAGGACCGTGATTCAGCAGAATAGGAAGCAGGTAAGTAAGAATCACCCTTTCCATACTGATTTTGCTTACATCAGGGAGGATAGCATGGGTGCTGCAAAGGTCACTTAGAAGGGCAAGTACTTGAGTGCTTGAAGTTAAGAATGCACACAGCCAGTAGCTGGGCAAACATAACCCCAAACTGCACAACACAAATTTGATACACAAATTCTCAAAAAAACCCCAACAAAACTCACCTCCTTTGCATAGGTGGCCTCGGCCATCTTGCTGTTAAACATGTACCTTACGGAATCTTTGTATTTCTTTTAAGATTCTGGGATTTGTAACACAGGGTGTTAGAATGGAGAAAATAAGAAACCAAACCAAATATTAAGTGGTTATGAAGCCTTAACTATTGCAATCCTAAGAGATGAATGTTTTAAACAAGCAAGACAGAGGGGGAGCTTTAGCACAGCTCTTTATAGTAAAGCTTCACCATTCACTTTACCATGTGTTTCAGCCTTAGCCATGTCTGAAACTCCACATACCTGCAAGACCTTGGCACAAGTCACCAGTGCAGTGGTGATGAAGGGCAGCTCACAGTACCCTCTGCCCCTCCCTGTGCACAGGTGAGGCTTGGATCTCCACCTCCCCACAAACAGCCTATGCAGATAGCAATGTGCTCTGTCCTCAGCCACATCCTGAGCCCTAGCAAGTCACCTGAGGTACTTCACTCATCTTTGTTCGCTCTGTCAATAGACACCGTTAATAACATTGGATAAATCATATCCACAATGAGCAGCTGTAAAATTCTCTTTATTATTATAAAGGAAATAGAGGTTAACACTATTTTTCCAAACATCAGGCCTAGCAGTACTATTTTCTTTCCCTCTCAGGTGGAAAAGTTGACCTGAGGTGTGCTATCAGCATGTAGAAGTAGTGGAAATGATCAGTGTCTGATTTCATTTCAGTTTACCAGTTCCATCCCAGAAAGCTAAATGACTAAAGCAGATTTTTTTCTTTGCACAATACAATGTTAATGAAAAAATACAAAGGAGGAATTATTGTATCATCTGCCTTGGCTTTGGAGAACAGCTCAAACATAATTTCTTTTTCTGCAGAGCACAGACAGCATGAGGCACTCTGAAATATTTAATAGAGAAAAATTGCCATTTCTAATAGTTGGCATTAGAACATTAAACTACTTACTGTTTTGGTGGTGGTTTTATCTGGCTATAAAAGTGGTTTTTTTGCAAATTTTAATTGGAATAACCTGTAGCTGGACAAGATTAAAGACAGCCTTCTTTTGAACCCCATTTGGATTAGATCTGTTATCAGTTTGTTCAGGGAAGTCATGTTTGATTTTGGGACATAGGAAATGACTTTGAGTCTGTCCTCCTGTTGAGCTTGACCTGAAAAGTAAGTTCTGTCCAAGGATCCCAAAATACTTAAAAAATTAAAGGTTATTCTTTGACTAACTGAGCTTTAATTGCAATGGTTTCTAAAGATTTATCTCCAGCAGTTTAAATTTATTTCATTTTTAATCATTCACATACTGATGCATGTTTTACAGGAAAATCTAGAACAAAATAAATTAAAAAGTGGTCCAGAACTGCTTCACAGAAGAAGAAAAAATAAAATGAAGAAGAGCAACCTCTTTGATTATTTCTGCCCTAAATCAACTAGATACATTTTTTTCTGGATAATCACATCTTGTAGATTAAGAAAACTTGCACAGAAAGATATTAAAATTGGGGTCACTAAGATTACCATGAGAAGAGTTTAAGGGCAGTAACATATAAGAAAGTACTCTGAGTGTCCTCATAAGGAAAAGAGGTATATGTCCTGTCTTACATTTTGTCTCACTGAGCAGAGCCAACACTTACAGGATGAAATTGTTAGTATTTGGGAAATTAGGCCCCAGCATGTGCCATAAGCTATAAACATCACATTAAAAATTATTTTTCCTCACATAATTTTTTCCAAACAGAATCTCCATATTATTTTTATTTTTATCCTTACCTGAATTAGGATGAGTACAGTGATCCAGCATGAATGTAAAGAAGTTGGATAGCTGAATTTGGAAAAGAAAAGAACACACAGTGATCGGTTTAGGGGATCCAACAAACATTAACATTCTTTTTTTTTACTCAATTACTAGCAATTTCTCCTTTAGGGGAATCTAAGACACTACTGTATGTTCCCATAGCATCAGCCTGCAGTAACAACACAACATCTGTCATACTGCAGAAATGGCTCACTTCTTTCTTTTTGTGCTGTGAATTTGTATGTATTCATATAGTGTCAGTCTGCTCAGTTCCAGGGCTGTATCAATCTTGCTGATGTTTTTAATGTAATTCATCTTACCCATTATCCAGATTATTTGCTTAGACTTCCTTTGAAGTCCATAGAAAGAAACAGCTAAAATGCACAGAACTGACTTTAGACACTGATGCTAGAACCCAAATCCCTAGAAGTTCCCAATTCCCTGTATTCGTCCTAAAGGAAGCTTTGGCTGGCACATGGAGACACTGATTCTCTCTGAGACACTGATATTTCTGTTGCACACATCTTGCCTCACAGACACAGTTAAAATCACCCAACCTCTGAGCTAGATATGGTTGTATAGGCAGAATGGTGTCCTGTTGCTTACACAGGCTTTTTTATGTATATGTGCACACACACCTATACACAATTACTTCATGTATTTATCATACAGGACAGAGCTTTGTGGGTAGAATTAATCACATGCCCATTTTGTTGGTGCAGTGTGAGTCCTCTAGGGGTAACATCATTGATTGTCCAGGAAGGCTACAAACCTGTAGTTGATCTTGCTCATCAGCATATTCGATCGACTGGAAGATACTCAGAGAATAGCGGCGCCTCATCTCTAGCCGGGCCATGGTGATGCGGTACCAGTTCTGGATGAGGACAGCAGCTCTAATGGCTGTGAAAACAGAAAGCAGTGGAGCACACATGGATGCCATGTAATCTACAACAAAAACACATGTGCTGCCTTTGCAGAACTTTGCAGACAAATTCAGTCTATTGTGCGCAGTTGACCTGCAGGTGAAGCTCTGTAAAGCCAAGACTTAAAAACTGTTTTCTGTTAATGAACACATGATGCGTTTACTGTCTTTGTTCCTGTCTTTGGGGGCAGAACCCAAACTAGCTGACTTGCTCAAGCCTATGTTATTATAAGTCTTCTCCATCTAATTGTCCTGAAGATACTACTCAGTTAAGAAGTCAGCGATGTTCAGCTGATGGGCACTGTGACGATTTTGGGAAGGTAGGGAAA